GAAAGAAAGAAAGAAAGAAAGAAAGAAAGAAAGAAAGAAAGAAAGAAAGAAAGAAAGAAAAATAGTGGCACGGATAAAATAGTGCACTCTTCTAGCACGCACATAAACAGTAGCACTGATTTTTTAAAAAACAGATATTGGAAGGATATCAGCAGCAAAGCTAAGTGAGAGGTGGACGAAGTCATTCCTAGACTGACTAATATTCAACCTTTGGAATGAATGGCTCAAAGTGGAGTATTTGAACTGGAGAAGATTTAGCACCGAAGGTAGGGGAAGACCGACATTTATTTGCATTTAAATGACAAATTACCCAGTGCATAGTTCTTCACCTGTATCTGAACTGTATAACACATCTATAATCCCTGCTATTTTAATTCAGCGACACAGTTTGCTTTCGAATAAGGGCTGGAAATGTATTGCGCACGCTAGGAATAAGTGTGTACAAAGGGCACGTGAAAGGAAATTTGGAACACAAATAAAAAAATGCATAGTAGGGGAAAGTCGTAAAGTTATTAAATAAATGTCAACCCGCACTTAAAGGGATGCATAATTGAGCAGTCATAATTCCTATTTTTTTCTCTCTTCCATTCAGTTGTGTCCAGTTCTTGGAGAATGCCTGCACAAGTTTTTGGAAGTGTTTTTTGATAAGGTTTTCCAGAAATAGTTTGTCATTGCCTATTTCCTAGGGCTAAGAGAGAGGGACTGGCCCACGATCACTGTGATGACCCGGGGAATGGCGCAGAGTGTCGGCCTCCGTGGCACGCCAAAACCGCGGTAGACTACAGCGCGCCCGACGAAAGCGCGTACGTGACGTCATCAGCAGCACGACAAATAAAATTAAAAATAAATAAAATAGAAATAAAAATAAAATTAAAGCAAGCCGATTCACATAAAGGTAAGGGTTAGGTTTAGGGTTAGGTTTAGGGTTAGGTTAAGGGTTAGCGTTAGCTTTAGGGTTACGTTAAGCGTTAGGGTTAGGGTTAGGGTTAGGNAGGAATTTCAGGAGTAGCCTAAAACTCCATCTTCTCACTGCTAAGCCCCGCCTTCTTCCCAAAATAGGAGCCACCTTTGATGGGGAGGTAACAGCGTTACCGTTCGGTGCGCCTTCGGCATTGAGTCATGCCAGCCACACGATCACAGAGACACTCTGGGGCAGCGCTGGCTCTTCGGCTTCGGAACGGGAGGTGGGCACTGCCCCCTAGAGTCGGGAATGACTAGCACACATGTGCGAGGGAAACCTTTCCCTTTAATGCCTTTTGTGTCAGGCAGAGGATAATATTCATCACAGGTTCCAAGTAGCATCCAAAATTAAATCAGAGCCCGAGGCAAAAAGGATTGCCCAAAAGTTCCCATTGATGAAGAGAGCCACGTCGGCACATCTGGGAAAACTCGAATCTGAAGGCTTCCCGGTTTCCCCCACCCGGTTCCACCCATCCAGTTCCGGTCAGGCGCAGAGGTGCAGAGACGAAGGGCGGCCTTGGCTTTCTAGAGAAGAATTTTATTTTGGCTACATATCACGTAAATGCATACAATCCCCCCCCCTCCCACTTCCGCACCATAGAAAACGCCTAGCAGAATAGTAGAACCGTGTGTGCGTCAGTCCAAAGACCCCAAAGGGAAAATGGCTGCAGGCCTCACAGACAGGATAGCTGGGAAGAGAAAGGGTTGCCCTCCCCTGAGCCAAAATAGTTCATCCGAAACCTTTGCTTTCAGAGATTTGAACTCGGGGTTCTCCAGCCTTGTAGCCGTAACCATGAGACCAAATTTGTTCCCCGTAGAGGTTTCCCTCCCACTCCTTGGCTCCAAGGAAAAGGAAGAGAAACGGAGCACACACCTTAAGCAGGAATTCATCACCACTTTTGCAGTGGCAAGGAGTCCCAAAGACACACCGTTTAATTAGAGGCTATATACCTCCATAGGGCTGTTCCTTTAACCAGAATGCCCTCAGAGGCATTGTGGAGGATAAATCCAGAGGAAGGAAGATCGCTGAGTCACGACACAGAGAGACTCTGAGGGTTGGATGGGACCTTGGAGGTCCTCTAGTCCAACCTCCTACTGAAGCAGAAAACTCTATTCAT